TTAGTGTATATTCTAATACCACATTAAAATTAAGATTGTGTAATGACTATCGATCGACACTCTCTCCTATTCATCTAATCACACATTTTTCGAGCACAATTGAACAATTAAAGAATCAAATTATTTCACAAAAGAATCTTGCAAAAAAAGCAAACGATATCATTTTATTTATGTTCAATGAACAGCGTGTTTGGCAACGTCTGGATGATTCGGATAGGAACATAACTCTGCGTCAACTGGATTTACGAGATTACGATTTTATTGATGCAGATGAAATATCAAAAGAAACCTCATTATCAACAATTACCCTACAGCCATCGATTCCTACTCTACCATCTTCTATACTTTCTTCTGATGCTAACGATATTCAGAATTCTGCAGCCAATTTTACCACAGACAAAATAACACTCCGTTTATGTACTAAGCCTCGTAAACGTGAGTCTTATGTAGTTATTTCAATATTGAGAACATCAACAATTAATGATGTGAAGATAAAAGCAATTGATCAACTATCGAAACGTGGAATCCCTTCCAATCCAGTACAACTTCTACTATATATTCATTGTATATGGGAAGGGTTTGATAAAGAAAAAGGAGATATTACATTACAACAATTACATATTCGTAATGATACATATATTAGCATGGAAACGGAAGAAAATCATCTCAGTGATAAAAAACGAACTTTTTTGCCTGAAAACTTATCCCATGAACAACATCATTCAAGAAAAAATATCAAAGATCAAATAGTACCTCCTTCTACTACTTCCAAAACTGCATCTATTGTCGATAACGATAAAGTGTGTCAATCATTATCTAATGTTTCTGCTGACATTCATCAACAGAATCAAAAGCAAAACCAAAGCACAGATAAAGATAAAACCGAAATGAAAAAAAATTATTCAATCATCTATCCTCCAGGTTTATGTGGTTTAACGAATACTGGTAATACTTGTTTTATGAACAGTGCATTACAATGTTTGAGCAACATTCCAGAGTTAACTCAATATTTTCTTAATCCTCAGGAGAATAACAACAACAATAACCGTAACACACCCGTAACTCTAGCTTATAAACATTTGATTCAATCGATGTGGTCTGGAAAACATTCGTGTATTGTACCAAACGAAATAAAATATCGTGTAAGTCAAATAGATCGGATTTTTTCTGATAATAGACAACATGATTCTCATGAGTTTGTTAACTCTATGATTAATATATTATATAATGAATCAATCAACAATGAGAATAATAATAAATTGACAAAAATTAAAGAGATATTTCATGGACAGATATCATCGACAGTGAAATGTCTTCAATGTCCATCAACAGAAACAGTAGTTGAATTAATTAATTGTCTTCCATTACCATTAGCCGCATCAAACAAAGTCAGTAAACAAGAACAAAATTTAATTAAAATCGATTATATACAGATAAATGGCAATCATGAATCAATCTTAGTTGAACTATCAAAGAAAAATAGCACACTCGAAATATTAATTGAAAAATTTATTAATAATTATATAGAAAAAAATATATCAGAATCATCATCAACAAACACAAGAGAAATACCATCCGAAGCATTGATACCTGAACGTGATCGAGTATTCATAGCAGAACTAATTCAAAATCGTTTTATTTACCCTTACACAAATATTAATGAACCTTTACATAACACGTATGAGAAGAATATTACTATATTTGAATTGCCTANAGCAGAACTAATTCAAAATCGTTTTATTTACCCTTACACAAATATTAATGAACCTTTACATAACACGTATGAGAAGAATATTACTATATTTGAATTGCCTACCAGTAACAGAAATGTAATAAGACCCTGTTTGTTCGAAGAAACCGAAAGCGTTTGTTGTTTTCGTCCACCAGTCTATCTTTTAATATCAACGATGGTTAAACTTCATGAACATTTGAATATAATATTAGACCATATTTATTCTGTTACTAATCAAAAATGTGTCCATAATATTTATTGGACAAAAAAAGGTTATTCTCATAAACATAATTTAAATTTTGATGTAGAATTTGATTTATCAACAATTGATCAAATTACAATTGAATTACCAAGTTCAATCGTATCAAAATATGAAAAATATTATGGTAAAAAATATTTAGTTAATATGAACGATGCACCATTAACACTTGATAATTTAATGAATGATTTTTTTAAAGAAGATTTATTAGATGGTGATTATTATTGTCAGAAATGTGGTGCTACGACACAGGCTAAACAAAAATCAGACATATGTTTACCATTACCAACAGTATTAATTATACAATTAAAACGATTTAAATTTAATAATAGTTATATTAATGATAAAATTAATACATTAATTGAATATCCAATAAATGATTTTGACTTAAGTAAATATATTAAAGATGATATGAAAAAAACGAATAAAAAAATACCATTATATGATTTAATTGCTGTATCAAATCATTCAGGTGGTACATCATCATTTGGTCATTATACAACTTATGCTAAAAATTCTTTTGATGGACAATGGTATTCATTTAATGATCTATACATAAGAAAAATAACAAACACAAAAGATCTTTTAACGGACAATGCTTATGTCTTATTTTACTCACAAAGAAAGGAATGACTCACGTATGAATGAATCAAATAAACTTGAAAATCGAGTGTAACTGTAACTTACGTCTACTTACCGTTTTTTAATAAAGCTAAGCTTATTTACTAATATCCAAGGATGATAATGATATTCGACTCCTGAAATATTGTGATACATTCATGCTATAAACATTCATTATTGTAATTTTGAGACATGTTTAGTGATAAAAAAAATGATAATTTCTTACATTCTTAGAAGTTCCTTATATTGTTTTATCTAGGAGATCAATTATTTTGTCAATTTTCAACTCAAATCTCGGCCGATTTAAAATGCTGATTATTTGAAGAATACTTTGCTATGCATTATAAAATCGACGCTCTTAAAAATCGCGAGTTATTTTTTCTTCTTTAACCGCTAATTTAAAATGTCTGCCTACGCTAAGTTCTATTTCGATGCTTGTACCGGTTACTTATGACGAAAAGGCCAAAATTCTCTGCTAGCAGAATCGAAAAGTATCTCTTAATCGATTGTTTGAAAAAGTGGTCCTGATTCATTTTCAAAATTTTTCTTGGTAATGTTACATATGATACCTTGCTACATACTTATTGACTATTCAAAAGCAATAGATGGAAAGATAGGCAAATAATTTACAATGAAGAAACACTATATATAATGCCCACGATACTATCATAGATCGATGATTTTATTTTGATTGATGATAAAACATAATGGAGAAAATACTCTTTCTCTGAGAAGTCAGAAGAGCTGGAGAATTTAAAACTTCTATGAGAATTCTGAGTAAGTTAAGGTAAGGTAGTGTAGAGAAGTTAAGATAAGGTAGGACACCTTTTTGCGGTAACGTATGGTAAGACATGCTAAGAGAAGATAGACTCACGTAAGTAACGGGAGGAAAGGGAAAGTGAGGGAATACCGAGTTTCTCCATTTACCGAGTTTATTCTGAGAGTGACACAGTATCTCTAATTTAGCGTGCCCTGTGCAATACTCAATACTAAGACGCAAAGACTTATTGGAGCACCTCGGCAGGGGAACGGAGGTGGGTTGTGAGAGTGAGTGGTATACCTGGTGCAGACTTTTAATCAAAGGATTTTAGCTAAAAATAGATCTTTTTTTTAGGAACGCTATAGAAGAGCCTCCTAGAATTTGTGTGCGCTAGGACGTAATAGAAGACTCGGGTTCTCTATTGTGTCCACCCCTTTATCTTACCTTATGGTACCTAATCTTAACGTCTCTACACTAGCTTACATTACCTTACCTTAACTTATGTTAACTTCTCTACCTTACCTTATCTTACCGTAAGTTATCTTATCTTACTTTTACTTGTAGCGTCGTATTCTAGCTTGTCGTACTCAAGCATAACGTTTATGTCGTCAGTCCCCATTAAAGTGGCTTTTTGGCGAAATTTTAGCTAATTTTATGCAACTGTCGAAACACATGTTAGTTCTAGTGTTGGTCCCGGTTCGGTCCCGAAAAAAAAGTTGTAGTCCCGGTTCCGCCCATGTCTAACATATATAGATAGATCATACGTATGTTCATAGTTTCATTCTAGTTTTTTTCTTCTTAACTTATACATACATAAATCTTTTAGTATGCGATCTGACTTGTTTTCATTATTTTTTTTCCAGAATATATTGATATTAACATTGGTATTCGTCTTCACACTCATTCACCATTCATTAGGTATTACTGGTGGTCTCTCTTATCTCTTCGTTGAGTGACTTCATTCACCAGCAGACCCGGACAAACCTAGTTTCTAGAGTTTTCCTATTGTTTAAACTCATCGAACTCCCACGCTTTTGGTTTAAGCTTTATTTATTTATCAAGGTTACAAAGAAGAACATGTAACGTCCGGCATTGAAGCGGATAAATCCGTTATCTCAGTGTCGGAAGTTACTGTAGTTAATATAAGGGAAAAGTAACAAATGAATAGGTTAATAACATGAAGGTATCAGAGAAAGATTTAGGTAAAAATAAAAAATAGACAAGTCAAGATAAAAAT